ACAATAAAACTGTATCATTGGTATTAATGGATATTGGTATTAATGGTATTAATGGTAAAACTGTATATATATGGTATTAATGGAACAATCATCTCAATATTTTAAAAGGTTTAAGCTGCCTACCAAAGCAGAGATGAAATTATTGTACTGTCTATTCATCTCCTGTTTTGCTCACATCATCTTGTCTATTTGTGGCTAGGTTCGAGGAAAAGGACTGCACCGTAAGAAAAACAAGCCTGGTTGTTTCTCAGTACTGCCTTCTGTTTTCAAGACAGGATCAGGAAGTCTTTGCACGAGGAAGGGGGAAAGGAGGAAGATTACTCAACAGCCCCCTTATATGATCTCATCCTGCAATGAGAGCCTGCAGCCCCTGAAGCCAACATAATTTGCATTGGCTGATCATTGTACAAGAGGGGTTTCCCTTTGCTTTTAAATAGGGGCATTACTAAATTTTGTAACAATCCTGGTTTTAAAAGTCCAAGTTTCCTTTCTGGCTTCTCCATAATGAGGACAAAACTGTCCTTCTGCCCCCTTACAATATTCACAATATTCGGTAGAAATACTGTTGTTAAAATTGATGCTTTTTAAAATCACTTGCATATTAACAGCACAAAAATGGAATATAATCCGTAATGACATATAAACGGCGAATAACGTTTAAAAATTCATTAAAAACTGTTTTAAAACAAATGAAAATGGGAAATTTGCAAAAGAATATAAGTAAGACAAAAAATAACCTCCCCAGATATGTACAAAGGAGCCAAAACAAAGTCTATATTGGCACATACAATTTTAGTGACAACCAGGAAGCACTGTCCAATTCTGTTTTGTATCAGCATGTGTTATGTTAACATTTGCATCATTTTCTAACTTTCTATTCTGAGGGGATCATTCCCAGTTCTACTTGCTTGTTTGGGAACATGTGCACATCTACCTTGAATATCACAGCAGATTAGGACTGTTAGGGTCAGGAGTACACGCACATTCTGCTCACTGGGAGCACTGGCCAAATTCCTTGTTTCCTAGCTGCTGCCCCTTGAGAACTGAGATACATCCTATAATACACCCAAATAGGCCAATGCTATCCTGTTGGCAGTATTAGTATTGAAGGACAAGTTGCCTTTCCAGGAAGTTTGTACACGATTATGGCTTTTCTTACTGAGAAGCTCCTGATAAGCTTCAAAGGAACTCAAGGGTTCTTTGAAAACTAGTGATATGAAGATGAGAAAGTATCGAGCAGCCTGGAATTTTGTGCCCAATGAAGGAATTAGAATTCAAGTCAACTTTGTGCTCTAAAAGCCATTTGCTAGAATATACACTTATGCAGTATTCCCTAAACACATAACTTAGGAGCAAGACTCATAGTGTTCTTCAGTACACATCTCCACTAGGATATTTATTTTTCATCTGCTAAGAATTCAGCAGGATTTTGGAGGACCTTGTGGAAGGCACCCCCAGAGAATCCCTTTACCTGAAAGAGGCAGAATGCATAAACCAAAAATTATCTTGTACTGTCTCTAGCCTTCTAATCAGCTTCCCCAGGAAAATCAGAACTGCAGCAGTATTGGGACACTGGATCCTTTGCAAATGCCAGGCCTGGTCACTCTCCGGAGCCAGCCGTATAGCAGCTACAAACATTTATACCATGCAATTAAATGTCATTTTAAAAGAGAGTGTTTTTTGTATAGCTATGCATAAGTAAAAACCAAGACATTGAAATATAATATGAAATCAAAAGCTCTTCCCAGAGCGCAGCATTCCTACAGATCGGTACGTGTTACGAATCATTATCTGGGTATATGCATGAAACACTTTCATTCCCCATATTTTGCATTAGATGATTCCATGCACTGAGTATACTAAAGGGTATCTCAAGCTCTTCCACTACATTAGTTTTACACTGCCCCCCCCAGAACATGTTAACATATATAATTCCAAACAATGAGAAATCAAACAGTCTTTTAAAAAATCTGTTGCACCAAAACATCAGTAACCATCTTACAGACAGTTTATACCTTTCAGGCAAGCAGGCAAAAAAGAGAGAAGTAAAAGGCCTCTTCGGTTTTCCTTGCTTCTCTGTAACACTCATTGACAATGAGTGACATATTCTATTGTTTCCTGTATTTTTTTGCAGTGCGGGGAGGACACTCAATGAATATTTCTTTCTTAAAACCATCAAAAAATCAGAGAAAATCTAAATGGCATACTAAGCATTTTACAAAGGAACTCTCTCTTCACACACTAATGTGCAATGATTTTTGCCCAAACCATCAAGAACCACCCCCCAGCAAATATGGTTCCTGAATCTTGAAACAAACCAAATGCCAAACTCCTACCATGAACATGAAATAGAGACACACAATGTGTTTTTTGTTTGTTTTCAGTTGCTTGGAAGTAGAGTAGTAGAAACAGTAGAGAAAGCTGGTAAGAAATGAATGTCAATGGGGCCTCCACAAGAAGAGATGGCAATCTAGGCTCCACCAGTCTCTACCCCATTATTTTTCTTTACCCTAGGTGTGGAATTGCCCCCATATCTGGAGGCTTTTTAAGGGTCCATACTGTCATAGACTCATAGAGTTGGAAGGGACCTCCAGGGTCACCTAGTCCAACCCCCTGCACAATGCAGGAAATTCACAAATACCTCCACCCCCACCCCCAGTGACCTCTGCTCTACGCCCAGAAGAGGGCAAAAAAAAATGTAAGAAAGGGCCACAAGAACTAAGCACCAATGCAACCCTACCTGCCCTGCCTTCTTGTGAACTGCTTAAGTTCACAGAATCAGCATTGCTGTCAGATGGCCATCTGACAAGAGATTGTGGGTACCATATTAAACTGCTGTGCCATCTGTTTTGTTTATAGTTCAGTTTAAATCTGTTTTAATTATTTATTATGGATTATTTTTATGTGGTGTTTTAATTCTTACAGTGAAATGTTTTAACTTTTGTTGTCATCCACTCTGAGCCCGTTCGCTGGGCCGAAATTAATAAATAATAAATAAATAATCTGTCCCCTGGAAACCTCCAAAGAAGGAGAGCCCACCACTTTCCAAGGAAGCCTGTTCCACTGAGGAACTGCTCTAACTGTCAGAAAGTTAGAGGGCAACAGAAAACAACTCTGCAACAACTGTCCACCTACATCAGTAGATAAACATGAGCAGACAAGCTTTCACTATGAGAGCCAGTTTGGTGTAGTGGTTAAGTGTGCGGACTCTAATCTGGGAGAACTGGGTTTGATTCCCCACTCCTCCACTTGCACCTGCTGATGTGACCTTGGGTCAGTCGCAAGCTCTGGCACAGCTGTTTTTGAAAAAGAGCAGTTTGTGTCAAAGTTCTCTCAGCCCCACCTACCTCACAGGGTGTCTGTTGTGGGGAGGGGAAGGGAAAGGAGTTTGTAAGCCGCTCTGAGACACCTTTGGGTAGTGAAGGGCGGGGTATAAATCCAATCTCCTCCTCCTCCTCCTCCTTACCTTCACATTTCATAAGCCTCTGGGATTTACGAGTACAAGGAAGACTTTTAGTAAAGATGATTCATATTTTGTCTATTTCTGGCATAAATTAAGAAGTGAAGGCGTGTGCCAGATATAAATAAGTACCTTCTGTACCATCACACACACACACCCAAGGCAAATGTATAGTTATTTATTTGTGCAGGGGATCACGCATGAAGATGTAGACTTCTGGTCCATCACAGTCAATGGTGACTACTCAGCCAGTATCGGCAGTGGCTCTCCAGGGTCTCAGGCTGAGCTCTTTCACATCACCTACAACCTGATGCTTATTGGAGATGCCAGAGATTGGACCTGGGACCTTCTGCATGTAAAGCAGACACTCTTCCCCTGAGCCATGATCCCTCCCACATGGTCGGACATTTTCAAGAGGCTCAAATGCCATATTCTGTTCTTGTAAAAAGACAACTCTTCTCTCATTCATCTCTAACATAGCTAGCACTACAACACTGTGGCTTCCCCACATCCCATGACTTACTGAATCCATTGCACTAGAGAGCGCCATGTGGAATGGGGGTGGCATGAGAGTCATGGGCACCTACCAGATGAAGACTGACATCACTGGCAACAAGCCCCCAAAAGTACTTAACAAAGTCCTTACATAGTCATATGGTCCTTAATACAATAACAAAACCACAGAGGAAACTAGCAGCAAACTAACCCTTCCATCCACAATGCTATGCCACATCGTTTCTCCTTTTGTATCCATACACGTGTATTTTAAACTGTATTTACTTCATTTCTGAGCCATCCCACTCTCTGGAGGAAGAACAGCTACCCCACAAGATACAGCTAAAATCCTTGCCCGGCCTAGCAGCATGGCTACTTCAGCCCATTATGTTCCATTGGGCAGGGTACTGCAAAACCAGAGACAGATGGGCAACAATGTAAGTTTAGAGTAAGCAAAACCAACCAACCAACCAACGAAAACTGTCATCTTGAAAGGCCTGGGTGATCCACATCTAAGAAGCTTTTGTGGGTTTATCTCCAAAGTCCTGAGGGCCAGCAAAGGTAATTCATGAAAGAGGTGCTATAAGTGCTGGTTATAAAATCAAAGATGCTGACACATTCCACTGAGGTTATGGGGAATCTCTCAATGGTAGGCTAATGGTCATAAAGCCTTGGCCCTGACAGAAGTGAAAGAACCTACATCAGACCCTTCCAAAGAATACGCTAACTCACTAAATGTATAGGATGACTCAGCTGTGATCACCTCTCACAGACTATGAAACCCTTTCCAAACGGACCAATGAAGATTATGAACAATCACAAAATGACAATCACAAAACAAAATAAAGTTCACGTTATCAGGGTGAGGAAGATATTGCAACTTTTTAGATCCCGGAATCAAATTTCTTGGATCTAGGAGCAAATCTTTAAGCAACCTTCTTGTAGAGGGTTGAGGAAAGGCCCACAGAATTATCAATCTGTAACCATCTGAGATTCAAATATTCTAGAGGTTTCTTCCTTTACGTAAATATGTTTTATTCATTACCTCCTAATCCAGGTCTCAGACGATTGTCGTAACCATCCAGAAGTCTGTCTAAAATTCTTGTAAAGATAGTGATATTTTTTGCTTCATCTTCACTGGGGTCAGCCAATACTGATCTAAACAAACAGTTTACAAAAAAAAAGTCAGAAAGCATGTTGTGCATACGTTTAATAAGCACTTAACACTATTTCTTACTTTAGAGTATTTTATACAGATTTACAGTGCAATCCTAAGAAATTCCTGGAAATAAACTCCACTGAACAGACACGAGTAAGATTCTAAGAAGACCTCTTTAGGATGCCACTATGAAAACACTACCTAAAGGCGTCACCTTTACTGAATAAATCATGTTCAACTTTTCTGATTGAAACCTCTTAACTTCCCCTTTAAGCATTAACTTTCGTAATCCCCTCCCCTGAATTTCTGCTGCTTCCTGCCTCGCCAAGAGCTTCTCACCAGATGTTTAACTAAACAAGGCCCCTGCAAACAGCCATTTTAGATCTCCTGTCCCACCTGTGTATACTTTTATTTTTCTTTCTACCCATGAATCCTATATGGCAATTCAGAAGAAAATAATGTGGCTTCCTACTGCTGGAGGCAGAATGCAGCAGGCAGAACAAGTCAATTCTTAAGTTTTTTATTATTATTATTTAAAGAAAAGAAAGGTAGCAGCATCACTGGTGCAATTCTCTCCAGCTTGCTCAGATTGCAATTCACTCATTGAAAACAAATGAAGGAAACCAGAGTTTTATTTGGTTTTTGCAGTGCTGCATCTGAGGTTCATAAGGAGAGGGCTCAAAATGGCAGTTTGCCTCTGCCTTCCAAAGCCATCATGAGTGGAGCCTACAGCCTCCTCAAAATTCAGACTCAGTTCAGAAAGGGCTCATTCCAAGTCTGCACTCCGGTCTGGTTCCCCCTCCTTTCCACAATAAACATCTTTGTGATCAGAGCCAGGGAGGGGGGATAAATAGCAGAGGAAACTGCCTGGCAGACACATCCATTGCTACAGGTATGCAGGGAAGCTGCATATAGCCCCCAGACAATGGTGTAGACTTTCCAATTTCCCGGGGGGGGGGCTGGGGCTGGGCCAGAGGCATTGCTTTGCTAGGAGCAAGGGTGGCTCCCGGGGGAGGCTGAGCACCTTCCTGAAAATTTCGGCGGGGGCTTATGCCCCGCCGCCCCCACGAAGATTACACCTATGCCCCCAGTGGTTGAGTGGATTGGGAGGCACAAAAACTACAATTCTCAAGTACCCCAGCAGAAACAGATGCTCTCAAGTCCTTGATAGCCCCATCACCAGCCATCTTTCTTTCTCTCTCCTTTTCACAAGGGTAGGTTTGTTTGGGAAAGTGGAGGATGAGTAGAAAGGGTTGGCAAGGAGTTCCACAGGGTGGCCAACCTTCCAAGCTCCCTAGGATAACTCCCAGCAAGAACCTGAAGGTTTCCAAGTGTTCTGTATGAAAGCTCAAATAAAACAAGCTAATTACGAGATCAGCTAGGGGGTCAGTTGCCCATCATTAGTTTTATGAATCACAGGCTTGCCTAAACCAATGACCTGCCATTTAGATAAGAACCTTGCATAAATGGAATGTCCTATTAAATTTATCTATTTACACAGCTGGTGACACATATAAATCAAATAATAAAGCAAAATTGCAATTATGCAGTATATTTTGCAGTATATTTTGTCCCTCTGGAGATCTGGGTAACCAAGAGTTGGATTTGCAGAGGGGGCTGTGTAAAAAGTACTGAAATTCAGAAAACACAGTTAATTTCTGGTGGTCATCATTCTTATGATATTCCGCACAGATAATCGTTGCTTTAGAAATGATCTTTTGCATGGATAAGATTATCAGGAGGTAAAAATGTCAATACTATCATCCTGGGCCATCCTCTTCTACATGGACATTGTGGCTTAAAAGTCATCAATGGCCCCTGCCACACGGCAGGGAAAACACGAGGCGAAGCGCGGCTAAAGAGAGCCACATCAAAAAAGATACGCGCGGGCGGGATCCCACAGATCCCATGCACCGCGCACCGTTGCTCCGCAGCATGATCACATGCTGAGGAGGAAGTGTCGGAGGCAAGGGGGAGGCCACCGAACTGCGCATGCTCAAGCATGCGCAGTTTTGGCCGGAGGCCGGGATGTGCCGCTGCAAGGACGCGCGGCCGATCCCACGGCCGGTTTGAGCCGCTCCACTTCGCATGAACCACCCAGGTAGGTGGTTCTTTTTAGAGCGGGTTTTCACGCGGAAGAGACAGATCGGGGACGGACAGGCAATGATTCCCAGATGTTGCCGTGGGATTTGCGCCCGTTTGATCCACCCCCGTTCTGTCTCGCTCCCGGACCAAAACCCCTCGTATGAACGGGGCCAGTATATCTGTAAACATACTGTTGGATAAAACGAGGCAGATGAGTGGTAGGCTTTCAGAGTGTCATGGTCACTCTTAACTCTTTATTCAAAAACTCTTCCATTTACAGACTTAAAAATCTTGCAGCCCCTTAAATATCTTGCAGTAACAACAGGTATGCAAACAATTATTTCAACACATTTCCCAGAATAAGATATATGATATAAAGATAGGTTGGGGTGGAAGTTGACTAATACAGGAATGACATAGGGGACATCTAAAATTTAGTTTGTAAGTGGTCAGGAAAAAAGTAAAGGAACAGCACTCCACCCAGTTTACTGAAAGCATCAGTGCACTGCTGTCTAGGTAAGGATGATGCTGTCTAGGTAAGGATGATGCACCTAGCTACAGAAATCCAAGCAAGGTCTTCAAGTATTCCTTTGGGGAATTAATCCTACTGCACATACGTTTTTCATCTTACTTAGCCACCAGATTTTGTGCAGAAATCCATGTGGCAGTTATGATAGTAAACACCTCTTATACAAGTATTATAATAACAAAAGCATATGATCTAAATGTTGCTTTTCTCAAACAATCTGCAGATATTTATAACATTTTTGATCCACACTCTGAAGGAACAATTAATGCTATCCTCTGCAAGATTAATTATTGTAATGTGGGCATGGTTTGAACTAAATCAAAATAAATCATGGTATAAGATAATATTTTGATATAAGCAAAAAAAAAAAGCCTTAAGCAATTAACAATGCCAGAATGTTGCTTCTGTTTGGCTACTCAGCGGTATGGACAAAGCATTTAAATGTAAATTATTGCAGTCTGTGGTTCTGAAGACAGTTCTCCCACAATCTATAAGCATTTTATTGGGAATTTCACAGGCAACTTATCATTCAGGCTTTAAATACTATTTTGCCATACTTGCATGATACACAACAGCAGATATTTTACACAAGTATTAAAGGAAGCCAAAAATGTTTGTAGCCCAAAATGATAGTCAAACCCTAATGCTGATGATCCTATAATGCTGATGATCCTATCACTTTGAGTTTCATCATGAAAACGATACTAATAGAGACAGTGCTTAGTTACATACGTTGTCTCCTTGACAGCAGTAAGGCTGCAATCCAAAGAACACTTTCCTCTGAGAAAGCACCACTCGGGAAAAACTGACTTACTTCGAAGTACATTTGCTTAGGATCGCTCTCTGAGAGCAACACTAAGTAGGTCTACTCAAAGTCCTACCCAGGTCTATTCAATGGGGCTTACTCTCAGGAAAGCAGTCTTAGGATTCCACTGTTACTCACATAAGAAAGTGTAACAGACCAGGCCCACAGTGACTCAACTACTGCTGCAGCATTTTTAGGGATTAGATAGAACCTAATATACATTTTTAAGGCAATCTGTATCTAATTCTGACCATTCTGCAATATGCAGCCAGTTACCCTGGCCCAAAAATTTAGTTGTTTTGCTCTTTTTGTTATGATTAAGTCTTGGGGCTCAGATCATTTTGAGGGAAAGAAGATACAGAAACGTGTTATCCAGGGGACCCAAACCGCCCGGCTACCAGAGAAATTATGTACAAATCACCATTTAACTGGATGCAGAAAGACCAGGTAGCACAATCCAGTTATGCATCTTCAGATACTTTCTACGATGTTGTCATTTCAGAAACACAGTTCTTGAAACAACATTTAAAAAGTTGATTAATAAATCAGATTATTGTTTTATTTTACAGCATTGTGGAATTGTATACTATCTCCACCTAGAGGTTTAAAGATTAAGTGTATCAAGGTTCTGTGATGTTACCCAAAAATACTTTCCCCCCCAACCCAACACAGAAGCCCAAATGCAAAATATACCCCAATGTTGCCAATGTTTTGCCTTACTACTGGACTTCAGAAGTACCTATTTCTTCATCTCCGAGTCAACAGTGCAATGCGAATAAGCAAAGATGTGATTCACTCCCCCCTTCGGCAAAAAAAACCCCAGGAAACCATAGTTACAGTTCTACGATTACGCAAGAAACAAGAAAACACTTTCC